TAGAAAATTTCTAATGCATTGTCTTTGCAAATGCTACTAGAGAGTACAAGATACAGTCATGGTATAAAATCATTTGCTTTTTAATGCTCATTCAAGTGCTTTCACAGAAAAGATCCTACAAATCATGGAAGTTTATATAATTAATGCAGATGCTTAAACTGGAGGAGCAGGACTTTCTTGGTGAGGCCAGTTGCACATTGGCTCAGGTGTTCCATCTTTTTCCATCACAACTTCTGTTCCTGAAATTGTATTATTGCCATAGTTTTCTGCTAGAAGTGCAGACAACGGGTTTACTACCGAGGCTGTTATTGGTTTGCTGACTGAACAGTAAAGCGAAGACACATTTCACCTTGAGTCTTTTCTAGTAATTACAGTGTGTTGTACTTGGTTATGGATATGCGCTCCACTATTTAGTTGAGACCTGGAATAGATTGTTCACAGTCCAATTGCCAATACCTACTTGGGTGCAATAACATTTTTGCCACTATTCGATATGAATTTCCTGTTGGTGGGTAGCTACAGTGTTGTCTATCTGCCTTTTCATACTCACCATTTACTTTATCTTTCAAGAGGTTATGAATTTTTTGTTGGATTAGGTTACAAGCACTGAACCTATTTATATTTCATCTCTGTGTAACTTGCTTAAAACTATTCTTTCCAACTATCTTTGGATTCAAATAAGTTCTGGTGTCGCCATTTTAGTTTATGTCATTGTAATTGTGAGGTTATTTTTTCTATTAATTAAATGAGTGTTAAACATATTTCTTTGTAGATTGTCACAAAATCTGACAGATCCCTGACCATGGACCTTGTATGTGGCGAACAATTTTCTGGTCAAGCACATGCACGGAAGTTTGGCAAGCTTACAATTTTTGCTGAAGAAAGTATCAGCTCAAAAACTACAGTCGAGTTGAAATTAAGATGTTCAGAATTGGAATCGAAAGATTTGTTTTCAAAAAGTGTACAAACTCATCAGAATAGTATTATCTATTGTCATTTTGAATCATATGATGCTGAATTGCTGATATACATAATTCTTCTGCGTTTGACAGGATCCATTTCTGGTGGTATCCAAAACTACTGAAAGTGGAATTGTCGTTCCAATTTGCAAAACAGAAGTGATGAAAAATGATCATTCACCCACCTGGAAACCGGTGTTCTTGAAAATTCAACAAATTGGAAGTAAGGTACAATAGAATGCTCTTTTGAGTGATCAATTTTCTATTTTCATAAGATTGTGTTATGTTTCCTGGGATAATAGAACCCTGAAAAAGAGGGTAAAAATCATTTAAAGATTTTTTTTCTTGGTCAGGAACTATATGATATTCCAAGTAAACAAGGTATCTTATGAGCTATAAGGGCAATGTGCTGACCTTTTTCTAGGCCTTTCGGCAAGTTCAGAAAACATTGCTAGTATTTTTCCAAATGAATTCTGCAGAAGAATAAATTTATACTTCAAATGATGAAACTTCCAAACTCACTTTTGGCAGATCTTTTGTTTTCTTACAGAAAATATTTCACCCATCTATTCTCTAAAACTTGAAATCAGCTGTGTTTTTTTGACTTTATGATTGCATTAGTAATAGAATCTTGTGTTGATGGGATTCTGCAGATGTATGGGATCTTACCTTCTGTGCTATAGAAACGAACTCTACTCATCGAAGTATCTAATTGTTTTGATTTTGAGGGGCTATACTTTATGATTTTATTTATTTTAAAAGATGTGATTGATAATATATTTCCCCTGAGGAAATTATTTACTCTATATGGTATGACGCATTGCACAATATTTGTTCTTTGGTTTTGCATTTAGAAACATTTGAATTGATGCAGGAGAACCCACTAATTATCGAGTGTTATGACTTCAATAGCAATGGCAAGCATAGTTTAATTGGGTAAGCGTTTTAGTCTCTTCTTCATTTCTGACCTCTACAGACTGGAAGCTGACCATATTTCTACTGATTGTCAGAAAGATTCAGAAGTCACTATTAGATTTAGAAAAGTTGCATTCTGCGGGTACTGGTGCAAATCTTTTTATACCAACTGCTATGGGACCAAAACAAGAAAACAAGGTAAAGAGCTCGTTAATCAGACAACACAACTGCCAGCTAAGCTTATTTAATCATGACAATCACTGGATTTCTATCCAGGTTCTAAAGAGCCAACTTTTCGTGGAAAGCTATTCTGAGAAAATACAGTATACATTCCTTGATTACTTGGCGTTTGGCTATGAACTCAACTTCATGGTGGCCATTGACTTTACTGGTATGTGGTTGTGCATTGATATGTACATATATATAAACAGATTCTCGCAAGTCTTTGTTTCCATAGCTAAGCATGGAATTCATATTTGTCGTCTTCATCAATGGAACAATTTATTTAGACAAATTTGAACCTCTTCCTTATTAGGATGCACAGGGGGGCTGGATTGAGACACCAAGGGTTATTGCCTCCATTGGCAACTCTTACTTATTATTATTACCATAAATAATAACGAGAGTTATTGATGTGAACTCATCCTGATCTACCATAACCCCCCACCCCACCCCTCTTAGCAAAAGACCCTGGAAAATCATTACATTTTCTCAATAATTTTCTGTATCGTATGTATACACAGACATTATTTTTCAGAAAAAATAAGTGACCTATGCTCATCATTTTTTTGATGATGAACCTTTTGTTACACAGTTACCCTTCTTAAAAAAATAGATTTGTAGGTTAATGTTTGTAATCTTGCTTAACTTGTATCTGAGCCTGTATTCTTTTTTGCCTGAATTGTTGTTTGCCAGCTTCCAATGGAAATCCACGGCTCCCTGATTCATTACATTATATTGACCCTTCAGGACGACCAAATGCTTATCAGAGAGTAAGAAAATATTCTCAGTTGTAATGATATTTCTCTTCATATGAAGTAAGATACTTACCAGAATCCCAATTTCAGGCAATCCTGGATGTTGGGGAGGTATTGCAGTTTTATGATTCAGACAAACGTTTTCCTGCTTGGGGGTTTGGAGCACGGCCAATTGATGGCCCAGTTTCTCATTGCTTCAACTTAAACGGTAGCAGTACTTACTGTGAGGTACCTAAAGAACCTTATGTACTTCCATATTTTATGGACTTGCTTTAGCTTTCTGTATCTTATTCATTTTATAAATTTCAGCCCTTTTTTTAACTCTAGGTGGAAGGAATCCAGGGTATCATGATGGCATACATTAGTGCCCTTCATAATGTTTCACTTGCAGGTCCAACTTTATTTGGACCAGTTATTACTTCTGCTGCACATATAGCAAGTCAGTCTTTGACGAACAATGAGCGGAAGTATTTCGTTTTACTAATTATCACGGTACATCCTCCATTTTCCTGATGAGTATCTTTTTTTTAACCTTTCAAGTGAAGTGCTAACCATCATCTGTTATCACCTTGAGTTATACCAGTCAGAGTTATAGTTTATAGATCCCTTCACAGTCATATGTATAATACCCCTATGCTTTCCAATGAATAAATTTCAGTGGATTGCATAAAATGTAGAGAAACTTGAAACTTCAACTTTTGTTGGAAATCAAACTCTATCTAAATTTGTGTTTGGGTTAATTCATTTGGGACCATTTCTTTTTATAACTGAATGTCCTATGTCTTCCTTCCTGTTCTGATTATATTATAGAAAAATTTGTAGGATGGAGTAATAACAGATCTCCAAGAAACGAAGGATGCTCTTGTTCAAGCAGCGGATTTGCCATTGTCAATTCTAATTGTTGGGGTTGGAGGTGCAGACTTTAAGGAAATGGAGGTATGCAAGTGCAACAACTTGGTTCTTTTTATGTCATCCATTTTACATTAACTGTATTGGATCATTTCCGGTGTGGATTACTTTTCGCAGATACTGGATGCTGATAAAGGAGAGAGACTAGAATCTACAACTGGACGTGTTGCTGTTCGTGATATAGTACAATTTGTTCCCCTCCGTGATGTACAAAGTAGGTCATATGATAAATTTCAAGCATTCTTTAAGAGTTTTCAGAAAATTATGCATCTGTTATGATGTGATGCCTTTTCTTCGATTCGCAGATGGAGATGTCTCAGTCGTTCAATCACTTTTAGCAGAATTACCTTCTCAGTTGTTGGAATACATGCGGTCCAGAAAGATACAGCCAACTTTGTGATCGATCATACAAGACTTGTACATAAATTTTGCTTCAGAAGATTAAGCTGATATCTTTCATCAGCATAGTCTTGTAATTGATTTTGTTGATAAAAAAAAAAACTCAACTCCGTTGCCCTTTATACTTGCAAATTCTAATCTCCTTTCTGTTACAGTTACCTTCCAGTTGTCCGTTGTAACTGTCATGTTTAAGGCTGTAAGCAGTAACTATAATTTTTTCCTATTTTAAATCCCTGAAGAAAGCAATTTGTGAAATAATCTTACATTAGGTATTGTATTTCAAACTTTGATTTCCTATAACCTTCTCTTGGTTAAACTATTGTTTTTTTTCTTCTTATATTTTCTTCTACCATTAACTAATACACTACTAAATCAAATTGAAAATTTTGGATTTTTCTCTCTGATGCCTTTTTTAATTATAAAAAATGGCATACTTCTAAAATTTCAGAAAACTCAACATGAATTTTTATTCTTTTGCCCTTCAGAAATTTTTTTATTAGTGTCTTTGAATATTCATATAGATTTTAACCTAAGAGTCAAAAATCATAAGTTAAATCTTTTATTTTCTTACCTTATGAACAAATACTTAAAAAAAAATATTTTACTCAAACCATAAGATGTACTCCATATAAAACCTAGTTTGAACACTTACAAAATTAGTACCCAACTCCAAGTCATACACACAAGTTTTTCAGGGAAAAAAAAACCTTTTTTGCTCATTAAAGTCAGCTTATTTAGTCAAAATGTTCCATTTAAATCGAAATGTAATGAGTGTATATATATATATATATATATTATGATGTCCCATATGAAATAAAACAAAAGAAGAAAGCAGACAAAGTTGAATATTGTGGTCTTGGACCGTATATAGTAATAGTATATTATTTTTCCACATAACTAGTATGTATTCACATTAAGTACATAAAAAAGCTAGAGTAGTAAACCCTAATATCTTCTTCACTCCTCCTTCCTAGCTCCACTCCTTTTTCTCACCTCATTTACTAATTTTTAGTAACATAGCTTCTAGTTAAGCTCTTGTCTGAATGATTTCTTTTTTTGGATCAAAGAAATGAAAAGATCAAGCTCTAATAATGATCAGAGGGATGAAAAAGACACTAGTAACATATTCCCAATATACTCATCAGCTCGATCTCAACATGACATGTCTGCTATGGTTTCTGCTCTCTCTCAAGTCATTGGTAACTCTTCGTCTTCAGCTAGTGGTGATTCCTCCTCAGTGCATGTTAATCCACTAACCCTAATTCAGCAACATCAATCTCAATCGTCTACTCAAGATCAAGGTATATATTCTCTTATTTCTATCTGAATACTATCTCGTCTAATAATTTAAGTTATTTTTATTGGTTGGCCCCTCACACCTAGAAGCTTTGATGTGAGCGTGGGTATCATGTGTTATTTAATTCAGAAAGAAGGCGATATAGAGGAGTTCGTCAAAGGCCATGGGGTAAATGGGCAGCGGAAATTCGGGACCCGAAAAAGGCAGCTAGGGTTTGGTTAGGTACTTTTGAAACAGCGGAAGGTGCAGCACTTGCTTATGATGAAGCTGCTCTAAGATTCAAAGGAAACAAAGCTAAACTCAATTTCCCTGAAAGAGTTCAAGGACAGTTTTTCCAATGCTATGATCAACCTGCCACGTCATCAAACAACACATCTGAACAAAATTACCCTAATGTTCATCACTATGCTGATTTATTACTTCGTACTGACAATAATATCGATCTAAATTTCGATGTTTCACCAAATACTTTTTATCACTCTTTTGATATTTCACAATCATCAATGGAAGTTCCAGTTTATCATGAGGAGCAGCAACAAGTTATAACTACGCACGAAGAAGAAGAAGAAGATTTTGTGAAATATCGTGGATCACATTTTGGAAATTCTACTTCAAGTGGTGGAACTAAATAGGAAAGTAATTGGGATGAGTATAAGCATGGAAAGTAACTCTCAATATGAATGACAGATGGTATCAGAGCTAGGTCCTGAATTCGAGTCTCGTTATTGTCACTGAAAAAGAATCACACTTGCATGTGATGATGAGGAAATAAATATATATGTTTTGTCTCAATCTATGAGCTAATTGTATAAGCTTTTACAAGGGATAGAGATGTATTTTACGTATTTTGTTGTTTTATTATATTGTGGGGCTTAATTTTATCTTTCAGTTTATTATTCATTATGAACTATATATGTATATGGTGGTGAAGTAATGGGAAAATATGAATGGTGTGTGATTTTATGTGTTTTAAGGATTAAGGTTAGTCTTCAATTGGATCTTTACTCCTCCCGATTTATGAAATATGTGTATAGCTAGGGACAGAGGCGGAGCTAGGCGGGGTTTTTATGGGTTCGGACGAATTCCTAATTTGTACTAGAAAATTAATTAAATATTTATGTATATTAATTGTGAATTCTTAACAAAGTTGATTGACGATTATTAATAAAATTTAGAACTCTCAAACTCCTAATCCTTGTTTCGCCTCTAGCTAGGGATTGCTTAGTTCGAAAACAAATTATACTGGGATTATTACGAAAGGATTATTGGTAAGGAAAAATCATTTTGGCTAGAAAATTTAGTCAGAATTTGGCCAGAATGGTAAAATAACATATTTCACACACTATTTATTTTATCTTTTTGGACATTTTTACCCTTTTTAAATTTAATATCTTTTGATTAAAAATGGGGACATAATCAATTAATTTTAAAATAAAAAAGGATATTATAGACCTTTAAATTTCTGCATTTAGCATTACCCCCTATTAGTTTCTCGTAGCGTTTTGTTCATTTTACTAAAATGGTACGTAGCTACATATATACTATATATGTTGTTCATACTCTTGAAGCTACGATAACATTATTAGAGAATCCGAGCATATATATACATAATGATGCCTAATTAAGGAGCTATACATAGCGAGTAGAATTTTGATTATGTGTAGCTAGCTAGCTTAACTAAGTTGGCTAGTACTAATTAATTAATTAATTGCATCTTTTGCATGGCAAGGGTAGGTAATTAATTAAGAAGTAGGGCCCACACAAGTAATTAGTGAGGACTAATTAAATAATGTTGCCTAATTCCTTTCACTTAGACTATAGAAGCATAGTATTAAATATGTGGAACGCCGCACTTACTTAAATTTTATTTATTAGTTAAATTAATGCTAAGTGAAGGGAATCTAGTCTTAAATTCTATTGCAACATTTTTTTTGAAATTAAATTATCAATTGTGCTCAAGTACCTTTTACATTAAAAAAAAAATACTTGTAAATACTTTACATAATTTTACTTGTACGAACTTTCCTAGTGTGAATGCTACGTACTTTTGAATTTTTTCTAAAATTAAAAATGTGTTAATATGAATGCATATAGTATGTGATTACTAAAAATTCTTTGAATTTAATTAAATTTAAACACTCAATAATTAAGAGTAATAATTTTCTCTATATCAATCTTTAAATGATCAAATTAAAAAATGCTCTAAACATGGTATGATATTATTTAATTTATAGTCCAAATTCACACATTTTTTAAAAAATAGAAAAACCTCACGCCATCAAGAATAGCCAAGTAATTATCCAACACTACACATATTCTAAAATAAACTATTGTAACTTTGTATCTAGTCATCAAACAACGTATCAAGGGACACATAAATTAAAACAGAGAAAGTAGTCATCAAACACCGTATCAAGGGACATATAAACTAAAATAGAGAAATTATGTTGCGATCGACGTTCAAATTGTGAAAAAAGTTGTGCAAATCGATTTGGTGGGTAAAAAAAAGTCATCAAACACCGTACCAAGGGACATATAAATTAAAATAGAGAAACTATGCTGTGATCGATGTTTAAATTGTGAAAAAGTTGTCCAAATCTATTTGGTGGGTAAAGAAAAAAGTGGTCCTTTTGACTCCGAACGCAATATAATTAAAGAGGAAAAGAACATGCTTTCAGGCCTGAAATAAAAGACAGAAAAATTGTGAATCTAGTATAGTTCAAAATGAAACTCACCTTTTGACATGAATTTCCAAAAGTTGAAAGATAATTATGTAAGCTTCCCTTTTTTGCATGAAAACGTGCATGGAATTGTCATTATGAAGCTTTATTCAAAAAAACAATGTCTATATTTTAGTTCAAAAAAAAAAGAAGCTAAACTTAGATTAGAGTGAAAGTTAAGTGAATAATTGTAGTTGTGCATATTCTCTGCATCTTATGCTAATTAATTAGGTTTTTATATATAAAGATTAGTACAAATATGAAAAGGTTGAAAAAAAAAACAATTGAGAAGTCATAGATTTCGGCTTTCATCATATGTATAATAGTGAGTGAATAAAACACACAAACCGACTGCCGCACAATGTTCATGAATCATCATTATTCATAACTTTATTTCACTTATGGGTGGGATGTTACCTAATTTATTTCACTAAAATTATACGATATCATATAATATAATACTATACGAAATAAATATGTTAGAATTATCCAAATAAAATTTAAAACTGTATTTAACAATTACGAATGTAAATTCAATAGTGCAATAGCAAGACTGTCTTACCCTTAATCAGATATCTCAAGCCTGAATATTGAGAAAATCTTGTACGGAGTGACCTTCCCCCCTCATAAATAGGTTCTGCATTTGGTCGAATATCCAATGCGGACATCAAATTTAATTATTATTTTGTTTACTAATTGGCATCTTTAGACGTTATTTTTAATCACATAAAATTAAGCTTTCGGTTGAAAAACGATATACAACCTTGACAGAGACAATGTTTTACTTATAATAATATAAGGATTTATCAATAGGTGTGAATACTATTTTGTTAATCAATATTTTTTCTATGACAAGGTAAACTTACGGTTACTAGCCTTTGGGTGCACATAGGGTAGAATCTCCACTCCTATGCAATAACTCACAAATCACATAGATAACCTGCACCGAGCTGAGCACAAGCCTATTGCTTTCAAAGGCAAGGGGTTTCATACTTGAAACCTCCAACGTGAAAATCCCAAACTAAACCACAGGGAAGGGTTATCAATCAGTACTGCTTTTGAGATGTCATGTATTTCCACATGCAACTTCGAGCTCACTAAATCAACATGCTCTAACTCACCTTCATAACTCTAGATGTCGTCGCACCTAATCTTTTTCTATGTATATATATGTATAAGATCATCATACTGTGTATTGACAACTCTAGAGGGTAGACTTCTTCTTTCCTCTAAAGATAAATATAAGGTTCAATATTTCAAACTTGACAGTCAAGCATATCCCTTATCCTATACAATATTGTCAAACTTTACTGCACTACACATCTATCTACCTAAAAACCTAACCACTACTTTTTTCATCATCCTCGTTGGGAAACATGCCTCTTCACGAGAATGATTAAAGTGCAACAAAATGCTTCGCGGTAAGACTTATCTATTGAATTGGCGTAAACACTCGAGTAAGTTTTACGACTATATGCCTTACACGGATGTAGGCTTATTCCTCGAGCTCTGCTTCTCCCTCTGTCCTCTCATCATTCCTGATGGACTTGAACAAGAGACTTTCAATGACTTTTTACTCAGTGCCCTCGCCCTTCACTGCTCTGTTATCATCCATTTCACCATATCAGGGGCACTGCTTCAACACAACTCACTAGGTTTCAATAGCCAAATGTGCCTGAAAATTACATAAATCATTAACCTCAGTTTCCCAAGCGCGTTTGCAGGACGACACATTATTCATCTTCAACTGTCCAAATAGAACTATTGCCTATATTTATTTTGGTGCACTCCGTGATATAGTTGGCATTCCATGGCTTTTGGCATGCAAAATAAGGACATGTTCAACATGAAGGGTTGGTTCTTATTGGTGTATATTCTCTTACTCATTGTAAGATTTTTGGTTACTAAAATAATTTTGCAATGTTTATGGTTTTTGACTTCTACATCAAAACAACTTATCTAGTTTAACTCTTAGAAATCTTCCTAGTAGTTATGTACATACACACACCTAGTTAATTATATTTGACGGAATTTAATTTTTATACCTTAAAGACCTGTACCTAGTTGACATAATACAAAGAAGGGTCATCTAAAAGGAGAAAGGAAAAGAAATAGAGAGGTACATGTGGTCGCACTGCGAACGTCTACCTCCACACACTGGTGGACAACACATTACCTCCTAAGCAAGAAAAATGAAATTATCAATGGCAAGAAATGAAAAAAAAAAACTAAGATAAAGAGAACATCTCAGTAGTGAATGCTCCCGTGTGAGTTGTGACATACGGAGAAAGAAGGAAAGCTGAAGAACCAAAGTGTGAGGTTTCAATGAATGTCGAAGGGAAGCATCTGGAAGGCTAAGCTGAAAAGGGAAAGAGCGGAAGAGGCGAAAGTTATTTGGTTTCCTATCCTTGTTATAGATAGAGCATTTGGTTTGGGTTAAGCCGTATATCAACGGTGGTGTTTGTGATGAAGAAAATACGGCCCAAACCCCCCAACCCTCTATCTATAACAGAGGAAACCTAATAACTTTCGCTTGTTCCGCTCTTTCCTTTTTCAACTTAGCCTTTCAGATGCTTCCCCCCGGCAGCCACTGAAACCTCACACTTTGATTCCTAATCTAGGTTTGTTTGTCTCCTTCTCTGTATATCAGAGCTCACACAAGAACATTCACTATTGAGAGTATTTCTTTTTTGTTCTCTCTATCTCAGATTTGTTCATTTATTGCCACTGACCCTTTCATTGTACTGTGTCCACTGATTTTGTCATCTAGGTAGAATAATATACAACTCTTTAAAAGATGTCAAGGTATAGAAATTAAACTTCGTCAAATATAATGAACTAGGTGTATATAACGTAACCACTAAGAAAGATCCGTAAGAGTTAAACTAGGCAAGTGTTCTGATGTAGAAATCAAAACCATAAATATTGTAAACTTCCTTATGTTACCAAAAATCTAACAATTGAACGTCACGAAATTAGACCTTGTGAAGCAAACCATTCTAGTGCTAATTAACATTAATTCTTACAAAAGGGAATTAACTTGTGTATGTACTATAGGGTAAAGAACTTTTACACTAAATCCATGTTTTTTTGTATGTAAGTTGTAGCAGATGATCTACTTTACTGTTCTTATTTTTTATAAATGACTATCTGTAGAGATCTGATAAAGAAAAACTCTCAAGTATAAAATATTATCAATCAGCCTATACGTACATGCCTCGAATATGAAGTAGTACCTTCAAAACTAACCAGAAATATTGAAAATTCATCTATGAAGGGATAATTAACATGTACTTTCCTCTGTAGAGAAACCATTCTCCATGATCCTCATCATCTTCATAACCACCTGAGAGCACCCTAGATCGCTTGTCCTGCAACTCAAGCAACATGGGTCCAATGCACACCCCATTGCCTGTCCACAATTCTACAACAAAAACACCTTGATTTCTCTCCAGATCATTCTCCGTCAATATTGGCCCGAAATGATCCGAAGAGGTGGTCAGGAATATCCTCCAGTTTGATGCATTAACCGTTCCAGCTCTTTCATAAACGAGTTATCAAGGTGATCTACTTGATTCACCAGTATACACGGTGTATCCAAGAATCAAATTTTTTCTCTTAAAATATTGGGCTCAGTGTCACAAATATCCTCCCGCTTGATGCAATATCCATTCCATCTCTTTTATATAGCTGCTCCTTCCCTAATAAACGGGTTGTCAGGGTGATCTTCTTGATTCACCTGTATACACAGGTTGATCCAAGAATTAATTTTTACGATAAAGATAATGGGCTCGCTTGAACTCATAGACAAGTGTGAGCTGAGGACATGCTACTTGAGGCCTTGTAGAAGCATCATTTTTATGCAGTCACCAGTGCAGAGTCTATTTGTGGTTGATTGATTAATCATTTTGGCGACTAATTTGACTGCGGCATTCGACTCTTGTATCCTTGCCTTGTCCGATCCATTTTTGGAAGCACTTCAAACGTAAGTTATGGCCACAGGATGTCTGGAAGAATAAAAATATCAATCAAGATATATAGAAGTTTCACGAGTATAAAAACCTTAAAAGATAATAGACGTATGCAAATACTTATGCATACATAGAACCACGGGTGCAGCTGCGGCAGTACATACTTGTAAGTCAATTCAATCAATCTTACACTGAGAATGGCTATAAAGGAGCCATGGTTTCAAAAAAACACAAGACTGTCTAATCCTTTTAAAAAGATTATTGAGAATGTTGTGAAATGTTACTGATTTACTGTTAAAATGTCTGAGCCCTGAGGAGATCATTTTGGTCACATTGCTTGAACGGCGCATTTTTCCTGTGTTGCCAGTATTGCTGGACCGGCCTATATACTAAGATATGTTGATGCAGAACTAAATATCGTGTCCTCGGACAAGTATGAGGATGATGGGGATCATAGAAACTAGAACTCTACACAATATACATGTACTATGAGCCTTCTGGTTTAGTTTACATACTTCAGACTCGAGGCACATTCTATAACAAGATATAAATTAGCAATTCATCAAAGTTGAAATGCTAAAAGTAAATTCCCAAAACTGGAAAATTGTACCTGCAGCTATATGGTGGGCAATATGTAGGAGAGGAACTAAAAGAGTTTTTTAAACAACTACACAACAAGTCAAAATGAATTGTATTTTAACTTTTTAAGTTTTTTGTTTAACCAAATATACTCTAATGATATTGTTTCGATCATTGATGTCTTACTATATACTCATGCTTAACTAGAGTTTCGGGTCAGAGTCCTACTGGATACATAGTTGTCTTTGTTAGGGAGAGCTTTACCCTTGGCGTGGGACTTCTCATGTCGTGAATCCGAATTTGATTGGGCCCCAATACCAACAAGGGTTGAAAATCGAAATCCAAATGGGAGAATAACTAAATATATTCATCTCTTAAGTTTATGTACAACCTTTTGCCTATATTTATTTTGGTTTATGGTGCACTCCGTGGTGTAGTTGGCATTCCATGGCTTTTGGGGTGCCAAATAATGACATGTTCAACATGAAGGATTGGTTCTTATTGGTACATATTCTTTTCCTCAATGTAAGTATTTGGTTACTACAATAAGTTTGCAATATTTATAGTTTTGATTTCTACATGAGAGAAACTTATCTAGGTAGAAAACTTTCCAGTAGTTATGTATATATACACCTAGTTAATTATATTTGATGGAATTTAATTTTTATACCTTGAAGATCTGTATATTATTCTACCTAGTTGACAAAATACAAAGAAGGATCAGCTCTAAAAGGAGACAAGAGAAGAAATAAAGAGGTCAAGGAAGTACATGTGATCGCACTGCGAACTCCTGACGGCTACCTCCACTAACTCCACACAATGATGGAAAACACATTACCTCCTAAGCAAGAATAAAGAAATTACCAATGGCAAGAAATGGAAAAAAAAAAGTAAGATAAAGTAGAAGAAATTAAAAATACATCTCAGTAGCGAATGCTCTCGTGTGAGCTGCGACATACGGAGACGGAAAGGAGAAAGATGGAAACAAACCCAAATGAGGAATCAAAGTGTGAGGTTTTGATGAATGCCGAAGGGAAGCATCTCCAAAGCTGAGCTGAAAAGGGAAAAGTGGAAGAGGAGGAAGTTATTTAGTTTACTATCCTAATTATAGATAGAGGGTTTGGTTTGGGTTGGGCCGTATATCAACAATGTTTGTGATGGAGAAATACGGCCCAACCCTCTTATCCATATTAAGAGAGGAAAAGTAATAACTTCCGCTTGTTCCACTCTTTACTTTTTCAGCTTAGCCTCTCAGATGCTTCCCTCCGACAGCAACCAAAATCTCGCACTTTGATTCCTAATCTAGGTTTGTTTCCATCGTATTAGTACTCACACGAGAGCATTCACTATTGAGAAGTATTTCTCTTTTTTCTCTTCTATGTCAGATTTGTTTATTTATTGCCACTTATATTTTTCTTGTTCTTGCTTAGGAGCTAATATGTTGTCTACTAGTGAGTGGAATTCATGGAGGTAGGCGCCAGGAGTTCACAGTGGTTGCAGGTACCTTTACCTCTTCTTTTCCCATCTCCTTTTAAATTTGACCCTTCATTGTATTGTGTCTGCTGGTTTTGTCAACTAGGTAGAATAATATACAGCTCTCTAAAAGATGTCAAGGTATAGAAATTAACTTCGTCAAATGTAATTAACTAAGGTGCGTATATACGTAAACACTAGAAAGATTCCTAATAATTAAACTAGGTAACTTCTAATGTAGAAATCAAAACCATAAATATTGTAAACTTCCTGAAGTTACCAAAAATCTTACAATTAACTGTCACGGAATTAGACCTTGTGAAGGAAACCATTCTAGTGCTAATTAACATTAATTCTTACGAAAGGGAAATAACTTGTGTATGTACTATAGGGTAAAGAATTTTTACACTGACTCGATGTTTTTAATATGTTGCTGCAAATAATCTACTTTTTTCTAGGTTATTGTTCTTATTTTTTATGAATGTATATCTGTAGATATCTGATGATGAACAACTCTCAAGTACAAAATATTATCAATCAGCCTATACATACATGCCTAGAGTATGAAGTAGTACCTTCAAAACTAACCAGAAATATTGAAAATTAATCTATGAAGGGATAGTTAACACATACCTTCCCTCTGTAGAGAAACCATTCTCCATGATCCTCATCATCTTCATAACCACCTGAGAGCACCATAGATTGCTTGTCCTGCAATTCCAGCAACATGGGTCCAATGCACACCCCATTGCCTGTCCACAATTCTACAACAAAAACACCTTGATTTCTCTCCAGATCATTCTTCGCCAATATTGACCTGAAATGATCCGAAGGGATGGTGATCAATATCATCCCGCTTGATGCATTAACCATTCTAACTCTTTTTTATACCCCTTCTTCCCTAATAAACGGGTTATCAGGGTGATCTACTTGATTCACTAGTATACAAGGGTGGATCCAAGAATTAAATTTTTTGTTAAAATATTGGGCTCAGTGTCACAAATATCCTCTCGCTTGATGCAATATCTATTCCATCTCTTTTATATAGTTGCTCCTTCCCTAATAAACGGGTAGTCAGGGTGATTTTCTGATTCACCAGTATACACAGGTTGATCCAAGAATTAATTTTTACATTAAAGATATTGGGCTCGGTTGAACTCATAGACAAGTGTGTGCTTACCTGAGGACATGCTACTTGAGGCAGGCCTTGTAGGAGCATCACTTTTATGCAGTCACCAATGCCGAGTCTATTTGTGGTTGATTGATTAATCATTTGGCGACTAATTTGACTGCGCCATTTGACTCTTGTATCCATGCCTTGTCCAATCCATTTTTGGAAGCACTTCAAACGTAGGTTATGGCTACAGGATGTCTGGAAGAATAAAAATATCAATCAAGGCATATAGAAGTTTCACGAGTATAGAAACCTTAAAAGATAATAGACGTATGCAAATACTTGTGCATACATAGAACCACGCGTGGTGCTGCAGAGGTACAAACTTGTAAGTCAGTTTCATCACACTTGCACTGATAATGGCTATAAAAGAGCCATGGTTTCGGGAAAAAAAACATAAAGACTGTCAAATTATAGTGCAAAATCCTTTTTAAAATGTCTGAAGAGATCATTTTGGTCACATTGCTCGAAGGGCACATTTTCTCTGTGGTGCCAGTATTGCTGGATAGTCCTGTATACTAAGATATGTTGATGCAGAATTACTGTATGATATACCATGTCCTAGAGCAAGTATGAGGACGATGGGGATCATAGAAACTGGAACTCTACACAATATACATGTAATATGACCCTTGAACATAATGACTTCTGGTTTAGTTTAAATATTTAGACTCTAGGCACGTTCTATATCAAGATATAAATAACCAATTCATCAAATCGAAATGCTAAAAGTAAATTCCCATAACCCCAGTTCTAGTACTTCCCAAAAGTGGTACCAATTAATTATACGAAGCTAGTGAATGCAGTCATGTACCTGTATATTGAGATATATATCATCGGGGTTCCTCCTTTCTCTTTGCTTCTTCCTCCGTATATTATATATGCATCATAGAGAAAATCGACGAAGCCCGTAACATAACATGCACCAGCAAACTCAGTGTCAAATGCTTGGCAAGCATTGGTCTGGAGAACAACGACGGCGGGAACCACCTTGTCAAGAGCCTTTCGCTAGTCTTCGACGGACGCTGCAACAACAAATATTGGTAAAGCAGTCATTTGTTTAATTTACATGAATTGCAATTGAAGTTTTGCAATCTAGCTACTAAAAAAGATATCAATTAGTTAAGATTTTTGTTAATTTTTCATTAACAGCCCATAGCTAACTTTATTTTTTGATAATTCATCGCTAATTTAGCAACAGACTTTTATTGTTTTATGTATACAAAATGATGAAACATTAATTGATTGGTCTCAATTCGTTGTATGAGCTACTTGGCTATGTCTAGCCAATTGCCATCATCACTATTTTTCACCAGAGATTGTTGGTTTGAATGGAAACATTACGGGAGAGAGAGAACTCTAAGCAAAAAATAAAGTGAAAAGAGTAATAAATTTATTTTGTTGTTATAAATAAAAAAAACCTTTGTTGATCAGAGAAGATAAAATTAGAGAAGTAACACGACTATGATTGAGCCTACTACACCTCTCCTCTTTCTTGTTTTCAAGAGCCCCTTAATTACTGATTCATTTTTTTTTGTTATCTGTTTTTTGAGTACTAATCCTACAAGGAACGATACAACTGAACTCTCCATTAGATGAGACAGCTGTGCATGAAGAATAAGATTCAACGGGGGTCTTAGAACACTGGCACCAACAGAAGAACCTGCAGGAATGATCATCCATGGTAGATCACTCTCAATCCGGATAAAGTTGAGTTATTTTAATGTGATAAAAAATAGTATTCATTGTTTCAACACAACTCACTAATACTAGTTTATAGCAAGATGCACATGAAACAATGATGGAATGAGGGTTTGAGCTAAGGGACGCCAAATGTGACGAAAACTACACAAATCATCAACTACAATGCTTCTACTTAAGGTGCAGTACAGCATGCACAGGAAAAATTGAAAACAAATACATACGTAAACTTTTACTGGAAAATATGGTGACTTGGACAATGTCTTTCTGCTCAACATAGTAACCTAGAACGACTAGGAGAATCTTAGAAGAAGCACAGCTAAAAGGAAATCTAATTTGGAGACTCTGCTTTACTCTGGAGAAGTGCTTCTAAAGTTACTTTGGTTCTATAAACCTTCATTTGAAGATGAAAATCTAATAATTCCACGTCTCTGCATTTCTCTCAGATGAGTTACTATACCTCTTCAAAATAATTGATAAAGAGACGAATTCATTAGCAGTGCACTCCAATAGCAGTCCAAAAAAAAGCAGGATGCAATGAGACACACCTGCAACACTTCCTGCCATGCTCCCTAAACCAACGCATTTCTCTAGCCTCTGATTAGATCGAGGTATGATGAATTGCTTCTTGAAAACCACTGATTGTTGAGCCGTTAACCGCCAGATGTCACCACCTCAAGCACATATTTTCACAGGATGATTGAGTCATCACACGGAAATTCTATATACTTTTGTACTGCAATCTGAAGGTCCAAAAGTTAGCTCTCCAGATGATTTCCATTTGCACTTGCTTTCCATGCAAAAAAACATCAAAAGCTGGTGTATTTAGAGAGTGATGTATTTGTTATTTGCTCAAGTAGGAGTCAGTAAAACCCAAATTTTATTTCTTTTATTCCAAAGCAGACATGTTCACAGACACCTACTTGCAAGTGACTGATGACAGGCCTGAGAGAAGAACCAAGTCCTTATGCAGAACCTGTAACAATCACCTGACCAAGAAGTCCCCCATAGCCTGCAATTAAGAAGACACAACAGATGTTAAGCAACCAACGGCTTCACGTGTTATACAAACTTTCTCACAAATAAACATAGTTCTGCATAGCAAGAACACTACATAGGAGATATCTAATTGGTTTCAGAAACTGAAAGTAGCACTACTCCTAAACAATAAAGCAATTTCCTATCCTTTAGCATAAGGATCCTAAAAGAGCTTTTCTTTGTCAGAAATTTCTTCTACTTCTTCCTTTGATTATTTCAATAGAGGTTCAGTTACAAACAGACATTTATTATTCCAAACACCTTTGTAATCAAAGTCTCAACAAGCACATTGTTCATTTTCAACTATCCAGATAGAACTATTGCAAAACCATGATACAAAACCAGTGCCACGGGAAGCAACTACAAAAAAGTAGATTGCAAGGCTATGGAGTTGAAACAGTCTGAAGCCAACGGAATATTGAACTACCCAATACAACAACATAACCAATAAAATTCCACAAACTGGGGTCAGGGAAGGGTAGAGTGTACACAAACCTTCCCCTTAACCCTAACTGGTGGAGATAGAGAGGTTATACATTCTTTAAATCTCTTGGGAAATGAAGTAATAAATCCAGGCGAGAAAGCTTCAAATGGGACATTTCAGTATTGATGGATCATTCAGAGGTTATGAACATTACCCAACCAGCTACCACGGCACACTCTATGTCATTTTTGTGACAGTAAAATAGTTTCTATTTATTAACTGGTGTAGACCTAAAACTTAACAAATAAATATGTTCCTTCTCATGCACTTAAGCTATAGAAAACAATAGATAAGTAGAGTACCATGACCCAAAAGAAACATAGGTAGAAGGTTGTGCATGTACTTACCATTTCTGAATCACAGATAGTGGTAGTTGATATGGTGAAGTGGAAGACATTAGAGATTGTTTGGCTAAGCATATAAGCTGGTCAAACTGGCTTATAAGCACTTTCTACCTTATCTAAGCATTTGGTAAACATTAAACGCGCTTATAATCCAAAATCAACCAAAGCCCTAAGTTGGTCATCATTTTAGTCCTTCATATGTACAAAAAGGACTATATCAATTACATGTATATATGAAGAACTTAAATGATCAATTTTTCCATACATTAAGAATCATTTTTCCATATATGAAAAGACTAAAATTGTCCAACTCCCATAACCAAGAAACAGCCAAGGTCTTAAATCATGTTTTTATCTAGAGCAGGATTCAATCTAGTCTGTTCTCCTAACACACACTCTCCCTCTTACCACTACAACAATGTCCCTGTAAAACAAAATTACTACAACTACAGTTCTAAAGGGAAAATAAAGTGAATTTCATCAAATTCAAACGTAGCTTAGATCGGTTCGTGTAAGAGTTTTCATCGGGAAAAAAAACACACAAGGGAGATATCAAAAATCAAAATGAATAACACTTTTAACAATATAATCTCATCAAACTGCAAGTTCTTGGAACATATTAGAATTAAATAAATGAAAATGAAGGAGGCAAAGTACCTGGGCTTCGATGCCGATGGGATAAAAACATCGTGATTCTTCAATCAATGAATACAAAATCAAGAAATTGTAAGAACCCTAAAAACCCAAATATTTGCAGCAAGAAAGGGCGTTGAAGGGTGGCGTACTTATATGAACCGACCCGACAATTTTATAACTGGATCCGGATCTTTTAGCGGCCCATGGACATAATTGGGTGATTGGATTGGGCTTTATTAGAAGTGTGTTTTCGTTTTGTTTTTAAAGTTTTTTTATTTATTTTTGGGACAATTTAAGAGACCTCTGTCGGATGTTAATCATAGTGATTTTTTTCTTATGATTTAAAATATTACGAATTTGAAGAATATGGAGATATGAGGGATCGAACCCCATGCAAAGCGCATAGCTCTACCATTTGAGTTGCATCCCCGACTTCTAATTAAATTGATCAAACTTAGATGATTCGATATTACGTTTCTTATCTTCCTTAATATTTTTAACTATTATATAATTTAATACTTTGCCAAAATCAAATTCACTTAATAATTAAATTAGAATTTGTGAACTTTAAATTCTTAAAAATATATTGTATTAAAATGTTATTTAAAGAAAAAATAATAATGACAAGTTGGTAGCAATTTGAAAAATTATTAGCATTTTATTATTATCGAATTTAAAATGAAAAATGACCTAAAAAAATTATGCGAAAGTAAATCAAAAAGGGAAAAATGAATCTTGAAACACAATAGCTATTGCTTATGGTAAAATTTTGATAAGTAAAACATTATTTACTTACGTATGAATGTAAAATCTTTTAAATTTTTCGTTTTCATAACAAAATTTTAATGGATGCATATTCGAAATTTAAATATAATGGCACTATAAAAAAAAATTGTGAGTTACATGAAAATTTTCTTGGAAATTAATATGAAAATTCACAGAAAACTTATTTTTTTTCAAGTTTTCATACTAAATTCTAAAAAATTCCTATGAAATTTACAATATCCTATAGTGTGGGTTCAACACCTTTTACATGTTTTTTACATTTAACTATTATATTCTTAAAAGTTATTGATTCTTTTTATATTTATTATAATATTAATATATTTCTTCAGTGAATTTCAAATTCTTATAACATATTTTTATCATATTTTTTCTTTGAAAGCAAGCATATTTTCAATACTTTTGCTTCTCCTTTTGCTAGAGTACTAATCAAGTTCCTCGTTGTACGTAAATTTTAATATATCGTAGCTCGTGATTGATAAAAAAAATTAAGATTTCATCAAAAATAATAATGAGATCTCAATTGCAACAGGTAAATGCTATACTTTTTATGTGTCCATTTTAAAACAGATCTGAAGAAAAAATTTCACTTTACTTAATCACAAAACGCTGTGCTATGAATTCAAATTAAAAGTATCATTTAACTTCTCAAAAATGTTGAATGGATTCGGGTAATAAACTTATCTGTCTAACTAATATGAGTCGTCTTGATCATATTATATATTTGACTAATTCATTTATAAGTGATAGGATCAAAATTACTAATATTGTGAGACAAAATAGATCATTAACACAACTCACATTAACATGCTTGAAAGATTAATGGGTACTCTTAATTCAGGTTCATAGTAAAAAATTTGTGATTTAACATAGTTAATAAAAAATTATACTTGATTTTAATAGACATAGCATAGAAAATATAGTATTTACAAGGTGCAACCAAGGTATCAAGATATTTCTTGATAAAAATTTAACTGTTTATCATGACAAATTAAAATTTATATCCAACAAGGAACTTGATTAGATGATCTCAAAAAAAAAACTAAATTTTAACAAATAATAAAACATGACTGTTAACTTTACTACGACAAATTAATGCTTAAAAAATTAAAAATGTTGAGTCTATAACTTTTATAAATTACAAATACGCCTTCATAAAGTTTCTGTTTGTTAAATAATTTTCTGTCCCTTTTCGATCTACGTGGCACTATCTTGTGGGTCCAATGATGGTTGATTTTTTTTTCTTCAAACTAGTGTCACGTAGGCTGAAAAGGGGTAGAAAATTACTTATAAAATAAGTTCAGGGGGTTAATAGGACCTTTGTATAGTATAAGTGTCTCTGGGATTTTGAGTATAGGTTGAGGGGGTACTTGCGCATTATCCCTATGTTAGTTATATATAGTAGTACATTTTTTGTTGTCCACTAACAGTGTTTCATAATTAATGTAATACATGGATTAAGAAGCGATAAATAACAGAGATAATTTTGTCAAATCACACTCATTAAATATAAGTCATTTAAATTTAAAAATTAAATACTAGTAATATTTAATTGCAAGAGTAAAATAGAAACTACATGATAAATTATTCATTAATTTTACAAATTTGAACAAGTATGATTAAACTTCCCAAAATAATACAGCGGACAAAACGAATAATGTTTAATTGGTAATATAAATTTAGAAAAATTGTAACATATAACAAACTATTAATTTATAATAAATGTTATAGCTATCGTTTTATTTAATTCTAATTCGTAGCAAACACATTGTCATTCTCGCCTCTTTCCCCTGAAACTCATTCACTACCGTCAATTCTCTCACTCACCTCTCTCACTTTTATACAAACATAAATGTATAAAATAGTGTTTGTATTTGTATAAGAGACTGTATATACAAATACATATCTCTCCGTCTTATACACTTATAATTATACTAATATGAATCTTCCCCAACTCATTTATCTTTTGTCTTTCTCTCTCTCTCTTTGTAAAAACACAATGTACATTTGTGCTTGTATAAAGCGAGGAAGATTAGATATACAATTGCGAATGCTTTAGCTCAATTCAATTGTATACAAATTTAAACTTTATGCAACTATACAAAAACCAATTTTTGATACATATTCATAGTAGTTACATAATACAATTATTTAATCAATATATATGAATATAATGGACCTCTCTCGCTCAGCTTTCTCCTCTCTATCTTTATCTCGCTCGTCACTATAGCCTAATTCAAAAAGCATATATATATACAAATACAATTTTCATAGATATAGATGCTCGATTTATACAAATCGCTGCAACTTTATACAAATGAGATGCGTGTGACTCATATGTCTATATAATTTACACAAATGAGTTGTGATATTTATATTTGCTATTCCTAAAATTTAGTGTACCGTAATTAAACGCAATATAGCCTGCGATCCAAACGATCCCTTAATGTCCTATTTTAATATCGGGAGCAAGCATTTGTTAGTGTGTTTAGAACAGTGGTACAATTTAGACTGTGGGTGTAGTCAAATTCTTGAAAACATACAAATGATAGAGTAATTAGCGAAGAAGAAGAAGCTAGCGTGATTAAGCAGCAAATAGTGTGGGGGACCGAAATATTGAATTTACCTTAAAATATCTGTAGTGGAGACGAAAATATCTTGATATTCTTGGATAAATCGATCTGAATTGTGAGTGAATTTGTCAAAAAATGGACCCTGCACAAGAAGCTCAGAACAGAGAAACTTTCCGGCAAGCCGTGACGAATACCCTTGAACGCCGTCTTTTTTACATACCCTCTTTCAAGATCTATCGTGGGGTTGCTGGCCTTTATGACTATGGCCCTCCTGGATGTGCCGTTAAATCCAATGTCCTTGCCTGCTGGCGCCAGGTTTCCCCTTTTTCTTGTTTTCTTGTTATATATATGCTATTTACTCAATTAGGGTCGTTTGTAGTTGGAGACAAGAAGGGGTTGTTGCTCAGATGGTAGGGTTTGTTTGGTAGCTACTAAAGAAGCAACTTAATTTGATAGCCAAGTTATCAAGTAAAATGTTCACGTATACAATTAATACCACTGTTGGTTTGCAATTTAGAAACCCGCGTGACTACTTGTATAAGTTAGGAGGTAATTGGTGTATTATCTTATGGTGGGGTAGAAGATAGAATAACCAATACGTAAGTAATTCTAACCAGCTACCAAATGTTACATAATGGTATGGGTTTAATTAGATAGGTTCATGATCATGGGTTGGTATGGAGAATGTTGTATTATGTTTTTTCTTTCTTTAGACAAGATGGATTCTGCCATGTTTATGTGATGTGTGTGAAGATAACTTCAATTGGTGTCTTGTGCTTTTGTAATTCAGCATTTTGTTCTTGAGGAGAACATGTTAGAGGTTGATTGCCCATGTGTTACACCTGAGGCTGTGTTGAAGGCGTCGGGTCATGTGGATAAGTTCACTGATCTTATGGTGAAAGACGAAAAGACCGGCACTTGTTATCGTGCTGATCATCTGCTCAAGGACTTTTGCAAAGACAAGCTTGAGAGAGATCCTAATCTTCCTGCTGAAAAGGCTGCGGAATTCAGGCATGTGCTTGCTGTTTTGGATGATCTTTCTTCTGAAGAGCTTGGTGCTAAGATTAAGGAATACGGCATTACTGCTCCTGATACCAAGAACCCTCTTTCTGCCCCTTATCCTTTCAACCTCATGTTCCAAACCTCAATTGGGCCATCGGGCGTGAGTCCTGGGTAAGTATATCATTTAGAGATGTGCTAACCCATTGCCTTAGTTTGATAGAGATATTTTTTTGAATATCCTGTCTGTCTTCATTTGCGTGCAGTTACATGCGTCCAGAGACTGCTCAAGGCATTTTCGTCAACTTCAAGGACTTGTACTATTACAATGGAAATAAGCTTCCTTTTGCGGCTGCACAGATTGGTCAAGCTTTTAGAAATGAGGTAAAATGGCCATATCTTCCTATGTTTTTCTGACGTGTATCCTGATTATATTTGTATTTTTCTACTATCTATCTGGCAAAAGTGTAATTTGAGGACTTGTGAAGGGTGAATAAGTAGTTGTCTGGGCACTAAAGTTTCTCCACATTGCTGATGATCAGAATCTGTAGACTGTTCTATCTTAATCTGCTGCCTTGGGTATGGCGAAGAAGACATGAGTGATGGTTCAAGTGTGCAACTAATAGCATTATGCTAATACATGCTGTGTAGAAATGTTAGGCAAATATGCTTTAATATTTTACCCAACCCTTTTCCCCCCTTTTTTGGTTAATTTTTATTTGATCTATTTGTTAATGAAGCTTTCTTGATTTATTTTACATCTCTATCTAGCTCATAGAAGGACCATGTTTGCATTTTTGTAAATAAT